ACTATTGTTTTTCTTTTTATCTATATGTTTCATCTGTCAGTTAGGCATTCGGCTGTTTCATTAATGTAAGAATGTGTGGTTGGAACTTATCTTTCTTAACGTTTCTACTGTTTGGATTTGTTTCACTGCAAATTTCATGACTAATTTTAAGCAGTGGCAGTGTTTTTTACTTGATAAAATGCTTTTTTTCAGTATTTTTAATCCAGACCAAATGTCTTGAAAAAATACTGGAAGTAAATTTGCTTGACTGGCATCTGTTGTAAAATGACGAGGCCCCCCCCCCACTCCCTTACCATCCCCCTCACCCTCTATCCCGCCTTTCCCCCCTCACACCCCCACCCTTCCTCACACTCCCCCACCCTTCCCTCTCTCTCTCTTCCTTTCCCCTCACACCCTTCCCCCACATAATTCCCCCTATTCCCTTCCGCCTCATTCCCTCCCCCTCTCCCCCCTTCACTGGAAGCAACCTCCCAGATATCTGAGGTGTTGGCAGTGGTATTTCTTAAATTAAGATAATGAAGAAATATGTTGACTAGGAAAGCTGATGTAGTGTGATACATGGAATATCTAGTGTATACTGATGTGAAGGAGAGTTTCTAACTTAACTAAGTTGGTACCATTCATCGGAGGGAAAGGAGGGGGGTGTTTGCCTTGTGCCGGTGTAGGGCTCTTGATCTAAGGGATTAGACCTACTCCTTTTTCTTGTATCAGATCTGATTACCTCCCGTTCACTATACACTGTATGACTTCTACGAGTTAGGCGCTTCCCCGTTAAAATAATAATAGTAATAATAGTTGTAAGTTGGTATCACCCGCCCCGCCCCCCCTCCTCCCTGACACGTAGTACGCTGCCACGTTGCCAAACCTTCCATCACACCGAATTGCTTCTTGTATTCAGCCTTTTATAATATTCTGGTTTACTGTTAGAGTTGTGAAATAGCTTAGTCTTCCTCTTGTTTCTTTCAAATGGTAAAGGTGGCAGAAAGTAGCGTATTAATATGTTAAGTTAGTGTTACAGTAGTAGCACAGGTGGCCGCTAGAGCGCTCTTAAAGTGTGTTGGCATTCAGTGTACAGGTGGCATATTTTCTCCAGTATTTGGTGATCATTTGATTTTTCAGTAATATATTCAGGGAAGCTTGCCTAATTACCGTGTATGTTGTGTGCTACATAGATGATAACTGTTGAAGATGGGAAAGACTCGTCAGAAGTTGTGTTATTTCGTGGAAACATTGCCAGTATGTTGTGAAAACAGCTGAAGTGAAGATCTCATACGTGTACCTTACTTTATCTAGTACATTCTGTAATCAATCTTTTGATAAGCTTGATGAAATATTGGCGAGGCTAATGTGAAACTTTCCACTTCAGTTTGTATTCACCAAAGGAACAGAGGATTGCGGAAACAATTTCAACTATAGATGAATTTCAGTTTTTGACGTGATGAAATGTGTGATTCTGTGCATATGAAACTCTTAAGTTTATTTGATTTTTATAGCAGAAAAATTTAGAAATTTGTGATCTTATTGTGTATAAATTGACTCCAGAATGTTCCAGCCATGATACAATATCCTGTGCAAAGACAAATTTTTAATAATTTAAATTCATTGTTATCCTCGAATACCACATATCTATAGCAGTTTTGCAGTTGACGTACTCTTCATCTGTAAATATATCCTGGAAAAGCCTAGCCTCACGTGATCCTAGATTGTCCACAATGCTGGTCTGACCAGGATGGGACCACCGGCGTGAAAATCAATCACTACAGCAAGACATACGTATTGCCACCATGCATAAACAAAATAGTATTATGTAACAACTTGAAATTGCTGCACTTCATCCCATGTTGCCTTCATAAGCGTAAATGCATCAGATTTAACAACGCTGGAAGTCTTAACCCTTAAACTGTCCAGACAGATCTACGTTCACATGCGTAGTGCTCCAAAAGTAGATCTACGTTTTTTAACTTATTTTCAGATATAACAAAAAAAAAGGTAGATCAGTTTTTTTACACGTTTTCAAATGTAAAAAAAAAAAATACTTTTTTTACATACTTTCAAATGTTGAAAAAACGTAATCTACGTTTTGGACAGTTTAAGGGTTAACTATTTATACATTGTAATAAGCATTTCACTAGACAGGATTGATCACTTTCTGATTGTAAAGATTTAGTCTATTTGCTAATTTCACACTCGTACCACACAAACACCTACCTCGTGTGTTGGTCAAACGATTTGTTCTACGTTATTATAGATATACGCATAATAATCCTAGCACTTCGTATATGCGAAGGGGTGAAGGTGATATCCCAAAATAATTAGTAAAAGCATCATAGAGAAGGCTATCTTACCTGACCATAAGGTGTGCACTTGGCCAGGCAAGGCTGCTCCTCGCGGCATTAATTTAAAATCTAGTAAATATATGCGAGTTGAGGAAATTTTTGGCTTTCAATTATGAATCGAATTGCACCCAATACTTGCAACGAAAATGTGCTTCGACCTAATAGCTGGTATAGAAATGTTCTGGAATCTGAGTCCAGAGATTTTTCCTGTCATGGACCAACATAAATAGTAGTGATAAGCATTACTGAAGAGTGCATTGCAGTTGATTATTTCACATAAATAATGAACTGCAGTGTTGATTATTTCAAAGAAGACGATAATATTGTAAAGACAAAATCAGGAACTAGGAAGTTTGCAATCTTTCTCGAAAAAGGTCGTGATGAAATAACTACTATAACCACATTAATTTCTAATGTTGTGTGTAAAGCTACAATGTTAATACGAAAATCTAACAAGATAAATGATGACAATTTGATATATATCACAGAATCACCTAAGAAAATGAAGGTATTAGAGCTGTCCATTTGCTTCAAAAGAGCACAGGCAAATTCATTGTAATGAGAATCTTCCGGCGAAATTATCAGTGAAGCATGTTGTTATTGTAGTGTTCAGTAAGGTCAAACTAGAAAGAGATGGCTTTAGAACCTGAAAGTGTACAGGGACAGACAGACATGGCGTCCATAAGTAGTGGAGTAGGTCGTGATGAAGCTACCACTAGTGCTCGTGTCAAGCTTCCTGGCCCTACGGTTATGAAGGTGGAGCAAGGCCAAGTTATTACTGTTAAACTGCTGGTAAGTTACATTATGCATAAAAGTTTAAAGCCTTGTAATTACTGTGTGAACTGTTACCAAATTGTTGCCAGACTTAAAACTCTGCAACTCATAGTTCGACCTAAATTGTGAGGATGTTTCCGTCTAAAAAAAACTTACTTAGTGGGGGAAAAAAAAAACTAGGCTGTTAATATTTAGTTGAAGCGTTGCTACTGCCTTGTTGGGATCTGTTCAACTCACTCCTGTTAGAATGAACTCTTATGAATTAATGTTAATAATTTGATTTAAATATAATTTTTAAAAACAGTATCATTTTTCCCTCACATTTTCAGCCATAGGAATAAGGGGAAAGTGATATACTTGTTTATTACAAAATAAGAGTTTATCAACTAGTCTAATGTAGTATACCTGGAGAGGGTTTCGGGGATCAACGGCCCAGTCTGTGACCAGGCCGCCTGGTGGATCAGGGTCTGATCAACCAGGCTGTTACTGCTGGCCGCACGCAGACTGATGTACGAATCACAGCCCGGCTGATTAGGTACTGATTTAGGCGCCTGTCCCCCCTCAAGGAAGGTTCCTTTATGTTGGTGAGGGGCTCTTGATTTAGGGAATTGGATCTGTGCTCCAGTTCCCCAAATTAAGCCTGAATGCCTTCCACATCCCCCCCAGGCGCTGTATAATCCTCCGGGTTTAGCGCTTCCCTCTTGATTGTAATAATAATAATAGGCGCCTGTCCAACGCTTTCTTGAAGACAGCCAGGGATCTGTTGGTAATGTGTATAGACAGTAGGTACTGTTTTCGAGTCACAGTTGAAAGTACAACTCTTGTAGACCTTACGAACCTGATGATCATACCCTCACTCGAACAGTGTTTTCACGTGATGTCATCTCTTTCTGGGTCTGATATACAAGCTCTGGTTGGTGGGAGTCGCTCTCACGGATAGGACCAGAACGTGTGAATACGGAATCTATTTATCACAAAATATGACTTTGACAACCAACTGATGCACACTGTACATACCCTAGGTAATGTGCTTATTCACACATCTGAAGTTGTGTGTTTTAAGCACGTGAAAATTCTCAGGTTTTATTTCACACGCACACACGTATGTGAGTATGTATATCTTTTTAATTGCCCTCGCCATAAAGTACTATAATGGAACACTTCAGTGTCCAAAAAATAAGTAAAATGTCAAGTGCAGAAAACATGATTTAGTGAAACTTATTCTACAGGCCCAGTCAGAATAGTGTTAATTGTGCTTATGATAAAGTAAGTATTCCCATTTCATGGCATGAATTTTTATTTACGCTGTTGAATTGACAGGCTAATAACTATTAACCTGTACTACCTCCCCTTCACCGGATACTACCCACAACAGGCTACTAACACCCAGATTTACTGCTGTATGAACGGGGGGGGGGGGGAGACAAATGTAGAGAGACTTACCTAAACATCATGATTTGCTCTGGATTGAACCTAGGTCGTTTGGTTGTGTACAAAAGTTGCCACTGCCGAACAGTGAAACGTGATGTACTTATAAGAACCACATAAGTGATTAACAGATCATGGAAGATATACGTATTTGTGGAAAGACGACCAGGATATCGTAGAAAGAGGACCAGGATAACTATTGTGGGTTTTCCCTCAACAAATACCTGCAGTACAGTACTGCAGGTATTTTAATCTAAAATGAAACACCATTCAAAGGTGTTGCTGGCAAGGAGCTTTTGATTCAAGAAATTAATATAATAATAATATATATATAATAATAATAATTGCCTCCCATTCCTCAGGGGCTCTGCAACCCTTACAGGTTTAGCACTTTTCCCCATGAATATAATAATTAAAATTTGATGAGTTTTCTAAAAGATTTTTTTCATTATTTCATTTCAGGGTCCAAATGCAGGACAAGGCCCACCACAGTTCTATGGGCCACCACCTGGTCCTCCACCGCAGGGTTATGTCCAACCTTACCAGCCTCCTCCACAGTATCCCCCAGTCATGTCACCGCCCTTAGCACAACGTGAGAATCTTTTGCTTTCTCTATGCTCTTTGTAACTCTGTATTGTAAACACTTGTGTACTTTGCTGTTTGAAATGAGTGAGAAATGTTGGCTTGCACACCTTTTATAAAGAATTGTGTGGTAATGTCTGAGACTGATTGAAACTGGAGGAATCGTGTTTTAATTATATGTGCATCGTAGTACTAGTTAAAGCTTCCTCCACCACACCAGCCTTCCTTTAATACGAGCTCCCTTCCACCACACTTGCCTTCATAACTAACTCACTTTGAAGATGTCAAATGACAATGAGATTATCACCTCTGTTAAGTAACGTACTCATAATTTATGGAAGATTAACTACTATGGCACATATATTCCAACCCACCCAGATGAAAACATTCATATGGAATTGAAAACTGTGAAAAAGTAATGTTGACACTGAAGTAGAGCATAAAGTTTTTTTTTTATCATTACCCTTCAACCCAGTCTCTGACCAGGAGATATTAAAGGAGTAAGGACTATTAAGTAAAAAAATAGTGTATATTTGTACTGAATGTACAAGGTCCTATAAAAAAGTTCCTGGACTTCTGTGAAAAAAAGTACAGGGTTACCTGTTCATGAAGATGGTCTTCGTGAATAACCTTTTTCACTTTTTCGGTGTTGTCATCTGTTTTTGACACTGATAGATGAACAGAATGTTTATAATCCTCAACTGACATTTGTCCTTTGAATCCAGAAAGCCTATTCAAAACAATGTCTGACCCATTGCTTATTGCCAAATTATTGCTAGCTTGAAACAGAATCTCACTCACACACACACACACTGTTCTTTCTTTTAAAGATTCCATTCTGTTACACAAAAAACTGTAACAGTGTACTGACGACAGAACAAAAAGTACCCTTCTGACCTCCATAGAATGACTGACCACTGAAACTTGCCACACTACTTCAAAGGAGTGTACTACATAGCTTGATCTATGCCTCTGCCAGATTTCAACCAGAAAGTGTGCAAAAATTCGAGTATGGGAACTTTTTAATAGCACCTCTATAAGTAGAAGGTTGGAAATTTACTTAGTCATTGAGAGGAAACTACAGTTTCCTTTGCCAGGTTCTGCATCAACCAGGTTGTGATGGACATGTGTGCCAGTGGGCTGCCAGCAACAGCCTGGTTGACGAGGTAAGCATCAGATAAGCCTGGTCCAGGGCTGGGCTGTGGGAGTAGGAAAATTCAGAATACTTTAAAGGTATATCAGTGGTTTCATGAAGCAGAAAGGAAAGAATAGCAATGATACTAGAGTTTATCTGGAGTTTATCTGGAGAGAGTTCTGAGGGTCAACGCTCCCGCGGCCCGGTCTGTGACCAGGCCTCCTTAGGTCAGTGTCCCAGGATGCGACCCACACCAGTCGACTAACACCCAGGTACCCATTTTACTGATGGGGAACATAGACAACAGGTGGAAAGAAACACGTCCAATGTTTCTACTCTGGCTGGGAATCGAACCCAGGCCCTCACCGTGTGAAGCGAGAGCGTTAACCACCAGGCCACCAGATTTCCCTTTCAAACTGACATCGAATGATTGGTGCCATTTTATTTACTAATTACATTCCTTGAGTATTAAGAGCTAATGTGAATTTTTCTCTTTATCGTATAACCCTTTCTCTGTCGTGACCCCTGAAATGAAAAGTGCTGACAGTATTGTTATGATTTAAAAAAAAAAAATATCTTCAGAAATGGTAAAGAATCTTTTTCTGAAGATAATGAGACCACAAATATGAAATTTAATGGAAAACTTATGGAATTATGCAGGTGCAAAGTTGGCCATCTTTGTACACTTTACACCGACGATTTTATCCACTCCGAGTCCTATTTTAAGTCGGTTCCACTGCTTAATTTGACCAAATTCCTGACTCGTTCACCATATCTTCTATCACTTGAGTGCAAGAAACTGCCCATTCATCTATCAGAACTATCCTATAATGTGCTCAGAATTCAGTAATTTTGCTAATTTTGCAAAAGTCGACAAGTAATTCTAATTTAAAGTCCACTATAGGTAGCCCAACAGCTGTTCATTTATCACGTCTCCAGGCCTCTCCTTTATACGTACTACTTGCCCTCCATTTTGAGTCCATCATATGGAAAATTGAAGTTTATACTATTTCTCTGATTAATAAAACATAACTAGGAATAGATTGATCACGGTTTAGGCCATCCCAGTAATTGAAACACTTAGTAAAAAACCCATAAAACAGACTGGGGGTGAATTCCTTCCCTTCCCATCCTAAAGAAAATCTCCAGAAATCAAATAGTTCTGCAACTTTGAGGCTATATCAAGCCACTTCCAGTCCGAAACCAGCCAAAATCTTCTCGTTTCTTTATATCGAGAAATACCAATAAAACCATAAAAAACACTTTAGAAAACACCTTAGTCATTATTTTTAATCGAACACAATGCCAGAGCTTTGCTTTTCCCATCATGCACTGCAGGGGCAGGATTTTTTTTTAATTCTGTACACACCCACCACAGATTGAGTCTCTAATGGCTAGGCCAGAATTTGCTGCTAGCAGCATATTTGAGGGTGCTATGTTTAAGGCATACACTGTATTTCGCGGCTTATAAGACTCGTTTTAGTTTCAATGGCTCGGCATCGGATGTAACTGGGAGAGCTACAGCCCACCCCACACCCCAGATTTATAGCTCCCATCACTGACCTTCAGTTTATAGGACGCAGGTGGTTTTTGGAGACATTTTATGGGGAAAAAATGCGTCTAATAAGCAACGAAATATGGTATGTACTTGAGTGACACTTGCTTCAGTAATGTAGACCTGTGCAGGAGACAGTGAAAGGGGGTTAAAGTTCTTAAAATTTCCTGTTTCAGCATCACCACCACCAGTTTACAGCCAAAAGTCCGAACGCCATGTGCGTCAGTATGACAAGCCAAGAAATAAGTATTACCAGCGGCAGCAACACACACACCACAACAAATCTGGGTCAAGTAGCCTGCACAGCACTCCGCCACTTTCCCCAAAGAAAGGTAATAGCTGAGAGTATATTAAAGCAAATGTGGGCTGCTGTTAATATTGCTAGTTCTGTTCAACTGCAGTTTTAGAAATATTTGATGGCAGTGTTTAATTTTATTATTACCTAAAACAATTGCTATCAGTTCAACTGGAGTACATCTTCAATGTACTGTACTTCAATTTTTATTGGTGAACAAGCAGTCTGTAATAAAAGGCATAGACTAATCAAGACTTAAAATGTAATATGTATGAAAATAGACAAGGAGAAATACGTAGTATAATTTTGTAATGTTAACCCCTTCTCCTGGATGTGTTACTAAATTTAAAAGGAGAAACTTTTGTTTTTTCTTTTGGGCCACCCTGCCTCGGTGGGTTACGGCCAGTTTGTCGAAAGAAGATGAAGAATTTTGTAATGTCTTTTTGTACACTTAAAAAAATATTGGTTCTTAAGACAGTGTAAATTGGAGAATTTCTTCATTTACAGTAATATAATTATATTTCACCAGAACCTCCTGCAAGAAAAAATGAAGGGGAGGAGGAAGTTCAGACAGAGGATGGGGAGGATCCTAGAAATAGTCTTCAGCACCTCCTATCTCAGGTTAAACCACCTAAAGTAAGAGGCTTCAGTGGAGCTGTATCTTTGTTTACCCTTACCATCATTATTGCATAATTTACCTTTATTTATAGTTTTACAAGATAGATTTATGCTTTGGTCTACCTGGAGGGTGTTCCAGGGGTCAACACCCCCACAGCCCAGTCCTTGACTAGGCCTGTCTTCTAAAATGAATCAAGATACAGTATATTCTTATAGCTGTCAGTAGTTTATACATATTACTGTACATGTTGTACTTCTTTTTGAGGTTGCTTTATTAACCCGTAAACGGTCCAAACGTATATATACGTTTTTTCAACATTTGAAAGTATGCAAAAAAAGTAGATCTTTGTTTTTTTTACATTTGAAAATGTATAAAAAAAAAAAACTTTGATCTTTTTTTTTTTTATATTTGAAAATATGTAAAAAAAAAATGTAGATCTACTTTTGTAGCACTACACATGTGAACGTAGATCTGCTTGGACCGTTTACGGGTTAATCAACCATTGTATTTGTGAAGAAACATTTAAGCCCTTTCAGTATATTTTTTCAACTTTGAATTGTACCTTTTCTTTATTTTGCTGGTACAAAGAAACCAGTTTTTCTCTTGCATCTTCTTTGAGCGTGTAAACTGTCAGATTGTGTATTCGTAAATATTTTTTCCCGTTAGGTATGTGGTAAGAAAGCTGGATACGTATTTAAATTTGCTTTTGTAGTACCGAAATGTAATTTTTGTGCTTTGCACAATTCAATGGCTGTAATGTGTTGGCAGTATGTCAGTGTTTAAAGTATTCATTCAAATATTGACCGCAAAACTATTGGGAGTTTCCAGTGAGACATTTAACTGATGTGCTTTTTTTAAGGTTTAGGTAATTGATAACAGCAATCTGTGCTCTTTTCAGGTAATTGATGTCACACCCAATGAAGCTGTTATCCAATGGTCATCTCCTGATTTGAGCAGCCAGCCTGATGACATACCAGTTTCTGAGTTACTGTACGAGGTCTTCCTAAATAACAACTTGTACATGTCCATCCCTGCCACCCAGCTTACGATTAATGGACTCAAACCTGCTACTGAGTACAGAGTACAGTGAGTATAAGATAATGTTTAAATGTGTCTGCTACTGAGTATAGAGTATGATCAATCTCAGACAATGCCTCATACATATTGAATTATGGATTTTCATAAGAATGAATCTATAGTACAGTATTAGAAAGCTGTTTAACCCGTGAACGGTCCAAGCAGATCTACATTCACATGCGTAGTGCTCCAAAAGTAGATTACTTTTTTTTTTTTTTTTAATATTTTCAAATATAAAAAAAAGTAGATCAGAGTTTTTTACACGTTTTCAAATGTAAAAAATAAAAAAGATCTACTTTTTTTACATACTATCAAATGTTGAAAAAACGTATATATACGTTTGGACTGTTTACGGGTTAATGTTCAAACAGGAGTGCAATAAAAGTATTGTTTATACAGTTTACAGTGTTTATGTGGTGGTGTGCGAGGTGATTCTAGTGGTGTTGCTGTATTCCTCACACACTCCACTGTCCCGGATGCTCCACAGCTACCAAGAATGATTCAGAAATCAAAAACTTCTCTACAATTTAGGTATGTACATCAAGAAACTTTTAAACTTTATTACATATGCCATATGTTGGTTATGAATAATGCATCTCTTAGTGGTATATTTTAAACACACTGACTCTCTCTCACTGAGGAAGGGTGACCCCCAAAAAAGAAGAAACACTTTCACCATCATTCATTCAATCACTGTCTTGCCAGAAATGTGCTTCCATCACGGTTCAGATAACCCTCCAAACTGCAAGATGCCTACCCTTCATTCAGAGTAAAGACACTATTTCCCACCACCAGGACTCGAGTCTGGCTAACTGGTTTCCCTGAATCGCTTCATTTATGTTGCCTTGCTCACACTCCAGCAGCATCATAAAGCCACTCTCTTCCATTCACTCCTATCTAATACATTCACACAGGCCTGTTGTATATCCATGCCCCTCACACAAAACCTTTACCGTCGCCTTCCAACCTTTCCTAGGATGACCCTTATCCCTCCTTCCTTCCACCCCTGATTTATACACCTAGTCATCCTATTTTACTCCAGCTTCCATCCACCATATTGAGGACTTTTAATACATGATGGGAGAAAAAATATCATTGTTATTAATTTATTATCTCCTGGGGGGAGAGAGACTTCTAGACAGGGTGAAGAAATTTTGTGGGGAAAAAATGGTTAGAGACAGTGTGACAGTCTTTCACAATTCATTAAAATCCCAAATAATTAGCAATGTACTTTCCTGAAAATTGGTGCTTTTATAGAAATGCATATACAGTGGTACCTTGACTTACGAGTGTCCCAACTTACGAGTTTTATGAGTTACGGGCAGTCATCAGTCTATTTTTTGCTTTGAGTTGCGAGCCAAAATCTGAGTTACGAGCAAGCTTCAGATACACCGCCACTCGCAGGAGATACCAAGGAAATGTCAAAAATCTTCATAATAACCAGTGTGTAACATCCTTTCAATTTTGATACCACTGGTATTGTCATCCTGCCAGAATGTTCTGTAATGATTACCCTAAGTAAAGAGAAACAGTTTGGGAATGTGTGATACATGTTCGGCTGGCTGGCTGGCTGGCTGGCTGATTTGCTTTGGCTGTCTCTACCTCCTTCTCTCTGTCTCTATCTCACAGGTACACACAAATACAGTTATACATAGTGTAAATTACCTAGGATAGCCCAAAAAATACAGACAAAGTGCTATACTATGCTTGTAGATAAGGCATAAACATGACTGGCAAGTAATACACATTTTGGCTTGTTCGGGAATCAGATGTGATGATTCTGTTGGTTCATAAGTGGCTCTCTCTCTGAGACAGGAAGACAGAAACACAGGCAGATGGAAAGATAAGCAGAGACAGAGATGAACATAGACAGAGCTAGACAGATAGAAACAAACATAGACATATTTATGTGTAACAGTGAAAAATAAAGCCAAAGCAGTGCATGGTCATCAAATGCCACTCCGCTGCTGCACTGTCAGCAATGGAGTGACACTCGTCTTACACCATGCTTCAAGGAGTTTCATATATACCCCAGCATTTCTGAAACATTGCTGGGACCTGGCAAAAAAGGCAAAAATAATTTCTTATTTATAAATTCATTTTTCCTATATAAAAACCCATATAAAAAAAATTGGGGTGGTTTTTTTTGGGGGGCTGGAGTGGATTAATGGCATTTCAGTTAAATTCAGTGAGGAAAATTGATTTGATACATGAGCAAATTGAGTTGCGAGCTGGGTCACGGAACAAATTAATCTTGTAAGTCAAGGTACCACTATAATGTTAATTGGACTGAGGAACTAGGAAAAATATGGTAATGTTCCTTGAAAATAGGCAAACGGCAAAATAAACAACATGCTTTTACCTAAAATCCTGCTTGTTGCTATTTGTTCATATGCAAATGTGTGGAGAAGGTTGATATGGTCATGTACAATGCCTGCACAAACATGGTAGGTAGTATCAACTACCACTGTCACCACCTGTCACTGATATTTGTGAAAATATGCCATATTTCCTTAACAAATTGTAAACATACATATAGATATGCATTGCACCTATACCAAATGAACATACATGAAAGCTAAATACATTTAAGAAGATAAGAAAGAAGGAACACTGCAACAGGCCTACTGGCTCATGTGAGGCAGGTCCAAGTCACCTCCTGGCTTAAACCAGTGACCCACCTAGTCAGGTCAGGCCACATCCACTTAAGGAAGGGGCACAGCATCAGACCTATTTGCACAAGCTAGTCAGGTCCAACTCACACCCACTCGTGTATTTATCTTTTCTATTTTTAAAACTACACAATGTCTTAGCTTCTAAGATGGTACTCAAGAGTTTGTTCCACTTATCCTCAAACATTTTTTTCATGGCTGTTCTTGATTAATAACTTTTTGTAATTTATCATCAGTCTCCAGCATATTCAATTTAATTTAATTTTTTTATACAAGCAAGTCAGTTTTACAGGCTAAGTACTGTTAGCCTACCTCAGCTCATTGTATAAATGCAGCTTGAGTACTTACATTACTGTTAAAGGAATAGAAATGTGTATTTACAGTACACTGCCTCCCTGCTTATTTCTTCTGGCTTTACTGAATGCATTTCTTTTTTTCTTTTTCTTTTAACCCTTAAACTGTCCAAACGTAGATCTATTTTTTTTTTACATAAAGCATGTTAAATCGAACGTAGATCTACTTTCGGAGCGCTATGTGATTGAACGCAGATCTACGTTTGGACAGTTTAAGGGTTAAATATGCTCTCTTGACACACACTAAATGGGATTCTGCTATTCATTTCACTAATCTTCTTGCCTGATGTATAAAACACCTCCATTGTATATATGCCATGCATTTTTTTTTTCCTGGCTGTCTCCCACTGAGGCAGGGTGACCCAAACTCCTCTTTTAGAGTGAAGGCACTGTACTCTTCACCTCCAGGACTGAAGTACAGCTAACCTGTTTCCTGGAACCCCTTCACAAAATATTACCCTGCTCACACTCCAACAGCTCAAGTCACAAAAACCATTTGTCTACTCATTCCTGTCTAAGACACTCACACATGCTTGCTCTATGTCTAAGCGATGTACATAGTTATGTTAGTCATACTTAAAGCTAAGATTAGTTTATAATTGTTCAGTATGTTTTTTTATTTGTAAATAATTAGAGCTTTCTAATTTTAGATGGGGGCCTGTGAAAGAAAATGGCTCTCGTGTGACTGCCTTTATCCTCGAGTTGTGTGGTAACAATGGAGAATGGTCAGAGGTCTTTAGAGGCCGAGGCAAACAGCACACCGTTACTAAACTTCAGCCACAAACTCGCTATCGTGTGCGTCTCGCTGCAGTTAATGAGCACGGGAAAAGGTAAGACACAAAATGCTAGGTACAGAAGTTGGCCTCCACAATCATAAAAGCATTATTTTTGGGGAAGTTCCATGTACCTTCATAGATGGTTTCTTTTATATGCTTGGTGAGGATCTACTTTATTATCATTTATTATTTTTCTCGGAAAACCTATAAGTAGTGATAGTGATGTCTTAAAATTGTCAGCCTAACATTCTTTTAGATAATTTGGATGTTCATTCTGTCATCTTTGTGAAAATTAAAAATATTTGATTTTTTTATATAGACTTCATATTAACAGTAGGGATTTCCCAGGAAAATAAACTGTCAAACGTGTAGAAAAAATTTCAACACTGCTTGTATTGTATACACTAGAAAAAATGAACACAATGAATACAATGTAATGGGTTTTGGGGGAGCCTAAAAGAATGTTAAAAAATTTTCAGGTTTCCAATTTGAGAGTGGGGAAAGTCATCCTAGTGAAATTTGTGTATGAGAGTGAGAAGTGTTGCATTCTTTAACAAATGTTTATTTTTACTGCCCAATCTCGAGAGGTAAAATTAGTGACTATATAGTTGTACTACTGAAAAGTCAAGCCTTTCTTTTCATTGCCTTTTCAGTGAATATAGCCCAGAGGCTATAGCTTACACCAGTGGTGTGGTACCTTCCCAGCCGGCTCCACCAGTTTTAGAACAAGCTTCTGTTACATCTCTAAGTTTAGGATGGACTAAAAGACCTATGGAAGAGACCTATACTTTACAGATGGAAGATTCGTTAAATGGTTATGGTTTCCGTCCTGTTTACAATGGCCGGGACACAAGAGTTACCTGTCCAGGGTTGAGGAGAAATGCAGATTATAAGTTCAGA